TACCTTTGTTCTTATAAATATATAATAAAAAAAAAAAAGAAAAAACCCACTTGACATTTACTCTCTCCTTTAATTGATTAAAGTCATCAGTAGAAAATGTATATATTTCTCATCTGCCAAAGCGATCATAAAATAATCACTAAAACATGTCTCTTCCTTGATTCGAAAAGAAAATGTTCGAACGTAAAATCTATTTTTTAAATTAAGTTTTATGTAAATTGTTTGCATTCTATGATGTTTGATGTGATGTTGATCATATTTTTCCGACTGTCTTGTTTATTCGAATTGAAACGCGATCGCATATGAAACAATTCGTATAAAATATATGAAGATAGTGAACAATCAGAAATGAAACAATAACATTTACCCCGTTGACGTAATATGAGAAAAAGTGCCGCTCATTTTTAATTAAAGCCGGCTGCACGTACACGAAGCTGCGGACGTCCCGGAAAAGCGAAACGAGAGGAAAAACGAGCACGTCCGACCGAGTGCAAGCATATAGAGAGTCTCGTTTGCCGGTCACGAACGGCATTCTCATGTCGGATGCTATTATAGTAAAGAATAAAAGTGGATGGAAATACCAAGAAACGACGATAGGCACGCGTTGCATGCACTCCGAACCTCCGGTTTCCTATTGCGCAGCGCCATGTTCACTCCCTCCGAGGCTTTCCATCGACGATTGAAAATGTATCGAAGAATACGATGCTCTACAGTACAAGTACAGCTGGATAGCGATCTTGAATTATTACAATGCCTCGAAATCACGTTCGTACATAAATCAGCCGGATCCTTCGCGCAGATAACCCGAGAAAAGCCCAGCGCACCAATTTACACTCTTTTTATTACAAGCCGTATGATGGTTTTTATCGTACACTTATCGTACACTTGTGCGTACGAAAAGTATAATTTTTTCTGCGTTTTTTCTTTGTTGCCAATTTATGGTATTATATTTTGTACAAATATGTTAATAGTACTCTCTTATAACAAGCCGTTGTACGTTTCCCATTCTCCGTTCGTCGTTGTGAAAATGTTGGATGATCTAGATGCGTCGATTTTTATCTTCTGGTTGTAGCGTTAGATGTACCTATTGCTTTTTGAGATATATCGTATACTTCGGATCACACTCGCGTTGATACTTTTCGCGTTGAAAAGGTTTATTATAAGAATTAATATAATGGCCGCGATTGATGTTGAAACCGCGCGTTAATCCTCCAGTGCTCGTATGAGGTAAGGGGCACAGGGAGGATTAACCGACGTGCAGTGTATACGCGCGAGAACGCGTAATGTAGAGTACGAAGCCGAGCGTATATAGATACATCGCGTCCGCTTGGAGAACCTCGATACCGAGACATTATGTGGCGTACCTTGCGTTTAACTTGATAAATGAAGGCGGATCGGCGAGAGTGTCGTCACGCGACCTACTACCACTCCCATGCACTTTTTTCCTGTCAGTAGTTTGGTAACTGACTGATTTTCCGACCAGGAGAAGGAAGAATGGAGAGGTTGTAGATGGGAGATGGGAGGTAATGGAGAAAGGGTCCAGCGCACTTCAGCCGCCGGTTACCAGGGCCGGAGGGCCGAGGGTCGGCGATCTTTTTTGTCCGGGAAATAAGGGGGGGGGTCTGGGGTTGAGACAGGGATTGGATTATCTGGTTGACGACGACAGCGACGTCGACAAGAGGCGTTCTTACGCGTGGTCGAGCTATTGTATTACTGATCGTTGAAAACTTTTTTAATCACGCTCTTCCGTCGCGGATACTCGGGGATCGCTCTCGTCTTTCGTACTCACGCGCACGCACTCAGCGCACACGCTTTCAGCTCCTCTCAAGGCGTTTACCCGCACCTTTTTCATTCATTATTCATATTTTCCAGCTACCATTTACTTCCCGTTCGCGTTCGCGACAGCTCCGAGTTTTATTAATAGTTACGAACCCGCTACGTCGTCGACGGTAGCGAAACGCGGTCATACTGAATTATGCGGTGTGCCGAACAAGAAGTCGTTTACGAGTTCCTAAATGTATTTTAAATCGGTCACCGGCTATAATAGCTATTTGCGCGCATCCCCGATTGGGAGTAGTTGTCCCAATAAATGAGAAATATCTAAATGTCTTCTCATTTCCGTCATTTCGTCGTTCGAAAAGGTAGAGATAATCAAAGAATTATATGAAATTTGGCGGGATTAAAAATTTTGCTTTTTCATCTCGCCAAGGTTTTTAAACGAATGAAATGCGCCTCTGTGACATGTACACGGAAATAGATTCATTAACGTAAGTTATGTAGATTTTTGCAAGATTTAAAAAAAAAATTCTTTAACAATTTCAAATGTATACGCCTGAATGGAAAATGCGAATTTTCTAATTTTATTATCTCAGCGTTTCAATTTAAGCGTTTCGATTTAAGAATGGGAGCATGAAAGAAAATAATGAACAATGAATCCTTCCGTAACGACTTTGTTTCGACGAGAAGTAGACAAAGTACCTGCAATGTAAGAAACAAATGGGACAGCAATAGCGCAAGCAAGAATTATGAGTTACGCTGAGAGCGTCGCAGAAATTCGATATTATACTCGAAGCTCCCCGTACCACTCGTAAAGACAAATAGAGAGTTGTTGTAAAGAAAAAAAGAGAATTGCGAGAACTAATTGAATTGAACGTATCTCGTATCTTTCGCGTACACTTGATCGATTAGGACGATGCGTTCTCGTTGCTACTCTCATCGCGTACGCCATTCTTGCCGCTCACGTGCACGCTATACTATATATACGGGTTGCACGCATGACCGACTTTTTTTCATTATCTTCTGTCTTCTACCCGGGAAATGCTCTCCCGAGGAGTAGAAAAATAAATTTGCTTGATATCTCGCGATTTGTTTTTTTCTTTCCCTTTGCCAACACGGATGGGTTTGTATTTGTAGGATTGCGTAAACAATGCAAACGCATACATGAAGAAAGATTCAGCATATTTGAATTAATTAAGAGGATTTCATTTTAATCCCGTACTGTAAAATATTTTCATCTGACGTTTTGTGCATGTTGTTTTATTTCTACTAATTCCGGCAGAAAGAAGTGCGTTTGCGAAATTTAATTTGTTTTATGCGACAAAGATACGATCGCTGGTCGAAATCTCGAAATCTCGAAATCTTGCATACTAAAGGTACATCGCTGTGAATTAATTCTATTAATATTAATATATCTGGAAAAATCCTTTTGCGCATTGTTTCATCAACATAAATATGCTTTGCTTTGTAATATAAAAGATTCTGTTCTTCCTCGAAATTTTGAAACGCATCAAATAACGCGATTGAATTTAATACAAATATCATTATACACGATGTGAATCTCTCGCTTTGTCTCTGCACCTTTTGAGGTAACTGTCGGAACAGAAGAGTAATTACTGCTGAATCTCATAACGCGCAATTTCTATTCCGCGTAAGCTAATTGCGCCGCTTTAGACTTAACGACGTTCTTTGATTGTCAAGTAGCGGGATAGTGTTTAGTCGAGACAAATTCAAGAAATAGGCAATCTGAACATCGCTACCTGTCGCCGATCGATAGTCGCGTGTTGTACGCGGGTTTTATCGCTCGCTAATTGATTTTAAAATGCGGTATGCGGTAAAGGAAAAACACAACAGTAAGAAAAGAGCCGCGAGACTGCGCGATCCGATTACGCGGTAATCGCCTCCGCAATACGCCTTCCGGCGTAGAAATTCCAGATTTCGCCGTTCGCTCTTTACTGGCCGGAAATGCGGCGTCAATATTGGAACACGAGACTGACTCTGGAGGATCTCGACAAAAGGTTCCTTGTACACGCCGCCAAGGAAGAATCGATGTATCGCGGTATATGTACAGAGGTACATACACACCGGTCGTAGTAACCGATGGTCACACAGGCGCGAATTTCGAAGCGTGGTACTTGGTCAAAGCCGCTGTTGCACGGCAACGTTCTCATGGAATTCGTTCTCTCCGATTCTCTCGTCCTCGATGCACTCGCGTCACGCGCCGCTAGTCTTACCAGCTGAGAAAGTCCATGAATCGGCAGACCTTTCGACTTTATTCGAAACGATTATTTCGAATAAAGAAGGAGAGAAAAACGAGCATTGCCGATACGCGTATCCAGTCCTCTCTTCTCCATATTCTCAATCCCTTTTTGCCTGCTGAACACATGTTGTACGTTTCACATTTTATCTTCCGTTATTCGCGGTGTGTACAAGATGTCTCGGAAGATTCACGTTTTTCTCAAACCAGAAGTATTTGCAGTCGTATTGAAAAGAAAGTGTGTTTCGATTGTGTTTCGAAGATCTCGAAGTTGTGAACGATTCGGAATTCGATGTTCTTGAGCGAAATATACAAAATGAGTCGCGCGAAAGTTACGTTCCGGCGCTTTCGAGAACTTGAAGAGAATTTTAAATTAAGGATTATTAGAGGATTATCAAGGATGTTTAAACGAACTCGATTGTAGAAACGCGTGATTTCGGCGACATCTTGAATAATAATTTCAATTGCACTTTATTCAGCTTTTACTCATGAATGTAGAATTACGTTTTAGTCAACGAATAATGGATACTTACTCCGTGTTTTCGGTCGAATTTATGATTTTATTTATGAATAAGCAACCTATTGTTATAATAAAACCGACTGTTCATCGACGGCTATTACATATATAGGAATTTCATGATTTCTCTTACATGTATTATTGTATATTCGCAATTCCGAATCGCGCGCGGTCTCATTGTTAAAAGCATCATCCTGTAGTCGTTGCGCTGCCCTTCCGGACACGTCGTCGTCGCTCGGTTGCATCGACAAACGGCGCGTCGTTGCGAAAGAGTTCATCGTTCCGGTGCACAGTCAAAAGCGTCTCTCTGTCGGATGCACATCGTCGCACGTATCTCGCTGTGGCTTCCATGACACCTGGGCAACGTTCGCGCAACTCGTGACGGAAATACCTCTCTCTCTCTCTCTCTCTCTCTCTCTCTCTCTTCCTCTCTCTCCCTCTCTTTCTCCTTTTCTCTTTCATACATTCTCTCATTCGCTCGTTCTTTCGTTCGCTCTCTTCTTCTTCGCTTTCTGGGAAGTGCCTTCTGATTTCTCCCTTCGAAAATGCGCGATGGAATGGAGCAATTAGTAAAGTAGCAGACACAGGCAGAGCAGAAGGGAGTACAGCCTCGGTTGTTTGGCCTGACCGCCGTGCTGCATTGCCGCGGGATACTCTCCTGAAACAGAGGGCAACACTTAAATTTTCTGAAGACCCGCGGCGCTTGGCATTCTCGCTTGCCGTTTCCTATTCTTCTTCTCTCCTTTTCTTTTTCACATCGTCTTTTTTCACGCCCAGCCGAAATCGAATGCAATTTAGCTAATTATTTCTCGCAATTGGCGCGCGGTTTCTCTCCTTCGTAAAATGCGTTCTTTCATTCCAAAAAGAGAATTTGCCGATCCTACGGACGAGTCCACGTGACCATAAAAACACTCTTAGAGAGATATCGAATTAATATTTTAAATATAATACATAATACGATAAACTGTATACAAAAAAATAGTCATCGCGTAAAATAGCTTACGTCGTAATTACAGTATTCACGTATTAACAATTAAAAATTCGCAACAATATACAACAATTGCAAGATATTAACAAGATGTTAACGAAAAATCATAGAAATTAGTGAAATAAAAGAAACAGGGATAAAATATTTCTTAAGAAAGCTGTAGCACTACATCCGCCGTGAAATTGCATAAAAACGTATGATTTCTCAGAAGTTCATGCTTCCAATATTATCCGATGTTCTGTTTTTAATGTATACGATCGTTGTTAATCACGAGCTGAGAAGAAGCTGGCGCACCGTCTTCGTATCATCGATTACTCACCGTTGAGTACGTGTACGGTGATCGATTTCGGTTGAGCATTACTGGGGTTACAAGTGTACCGTCCCGAGTCCGACGGCTTCGCTTCTTGCACCAAGAGGAAACTCGTCGTGCTGTCACCCTTCTCCGTGACCACGGAGACGCCGCCTCTGCTCGAGTCGTAGCTGATTATCTGGAACAGAGATCGGGCGATCGTTCTTAGAGAAGGTGTCGGTCTCTCCGAGTGGATGAGAATTAAGTTGGTGAGGATGGAAGCGAATGAGAAATCGGCTAGCCAATGTCGGATACAATTTTTATTAGGCAAGTACTCCGACGAGTACTGAAGAGTTATGAAGACGACGAAGCTTGTAGAAGGACTCCCTTTCGGTTCGCACGAAGAGCACGGACGAGGTTAGAAAAAAATATCGTTAAAAAAAGTATCCCCTCTTTCAATGAGAATTCTTAACGTGTATAAGATTGAAAGAGATTTGAAAGAGATTATAAAGTATATCCCACGACGTTTAGTGATATGAAAGAGGTTTGCCCCGACGTTCGGTGCAAATTACCTCGCTGGCGACTCTTATGACCCGAGAATATTTCCCAAGATAAATATTATTCCAGGGTAATCTTCGGTGATGGATCTCAGTTTATTGTTCAACTTTTTATAATTTTTTAATTATTCCCTCGAATTATTGGTAGATGTGTCAATTTTCTTAAAATATAAGTACGTATTTTAATCTTTTTAATGGCTAGGAAATATTGAAGGAAATGAAAAAATTATTCCTGTAATTCTTGTTGCAAAAGTAAAACCTGGCACATTTTTTATTATAAAACAATTTTTATTATAAACAATAAAACACATTTTGTTGTTTAACAAAAGACTAATGTGTTTCTCGCATGCAAAGAATACTTAATCTGTTGGAATAATCAAAACATTTCACGAATGTTATTTAAGCCTGCACATTTACGCTACGAAAATTGGCTGCAACGTCCAAATGCTAGTAGTGCACTCGTCTCAAGACCCCGACGAACGCGCGTCGTATTTATCCTATGTCTGTTCCACTTGACAACGCTCGTGAGTGTCGCTTTAACACGAGGTTGGTAGAATCCAACATTAGGTATACGCGAATGAAAGGAATAAAAAGCAGAAAACGTCGCGAGAGCTAAAAAGGATTTTTAAATAAATAATCCGCAGTTGGAACCTTACGACAGTGTACCTTCATCTGAGAGGTACGTAAGCCTTCTTAAGGGATTGAGAATTGTAGAACATCCTCGACAACATGTTGGATATTTGCTTCTTGGCTATATTTCGGTGTTAAAAAATTCGGACGTCATGTCCTCTCAGAATTATCTTGGTAAAAAGAAATGTTAAATGAAAAAATCATTATCATAATCTTTAATTTAATTTCTCTTGCACTCTGCACTTTTATAAAAATCGTTTTTTAACATTTCAAATTTAAAATTTTGCTAAAATACGACATCTTCTTTATAATTCAATAAACAAAAGAATCTAAAATTGATATATTGTTAGATAAAGGAGCAATGGTAAACCAATCCTTTAAGTAAAAAATAACATTTTGTTATTTCAACTTCCACGTATCAAAATATAATTAACCCATTTCTGCGGTTAGTTTTAAAGTAAACAATGTTCATATTAATGTATGCACTTAATAAATCATAAATTTGAGTCTTTAATAAATTTTTTTAGTCAAATTATTAATTCTATTATTTTAGTTAAATTAACGACATATTGAGTAATGACAATAACAACTTATAGAGTAACTTCGGCAAGTAAATTCGCCGCTCTGGGATTTACATACACCGCAGAAGTCAGAAAAAATAGAAGGAGTGGGGATAATTTTCCCGCAACTATTCTGTTACATGCCTTTATGTTATATTAGTATTGTGTTATGCTTTCAATTTCTTACTGTTAATATTAATGAAACTAATGTGAGTTGAATCGATTTGTCACTGTAATAGGTAACGCCATCATAAATTAAAGTCTACATAAAATGATTACTGCAAGGCGTGTAAAAGACTTTGTGATTATTTCGTAATACATACGCGTAATGAAATAGTAAATCATGTTGTGTAACAAAATACAAGTGCTTTACTTTCGTATTCTTTGTTTAGTTTGTTTATCTTGTATATCCCACCTGTTTGGGATACGCGGCATTTTTAGCGAGCGGGATTTATGCCCGAAGCATACAAAGTGCGCATATTGAATTCAATGCAATAAAACGCATTATATGAAATATGTACCTCATGTCATAACACTTGTATATGTAGGAAGGACTTGTAATTATTATTTATTATTTCATATACATATTTACCATTTCTACTCCTTAATAAAACTTTATAAACACATTTTATAAGTTATTATGTCATTTTACATCTTATTTATATGTATTATTTATAAATTTTTCATGAGCCACACATATCCACCTTTCTCTACCTGAGTAGCCATATATCCCACTCCTATGAGATATACGGCAAAAATGCAAGGGTTTCGAAAAGTTTATTTTTTAATATGAAAAATAAATATTTCGAATTTCTAATATTTTTTTCACAGTAATAAACAGTACAAAGTTTTTACTAATGTAGTTCATTAATTTTAAACATGGTAAATAATACTTAATAAATTAAGTTTTTGATAGGTGCGACGTATATATCGGAGTTACCCTGTAATAGGAATTATTAAAAATAACTCAAATTGAGTATCATAATTTGATATTATAAATCTAATTCAGTATGTCATAAATAATAGAATTAAAATAAATAATTATAATAGTAGCCAGTGCATTAATTGATACAGTACAAAAGAGTTGTATTAAAGAATCTCGTTGCTTTACCATTATTCACTTCTCGACGCACAAGATTCTGATATTATATTATACGCTCAGATTTCTTTCATTCACAAAGAGCAAATCTAAATGATTTGCATACAAAGCGTAATTGTTTCATTCTGAGAAGAACAAAATGCTTTTTTCAAGTTTCTTTCATTAAGTGTACAAATATAAGCTGCAGGTACTCGAGAAAATTTAATCTTTCCGGATTGCTGCATTTCCTGCGCGGTATCAAATCCCGTGGATAAGAATATATATCGGTCGCCCAGGTCGCTGTTTATCCCCCATCGTCCCATAGTCTCAAAGCATGCGATTAATCGGACGAAAGTTAGCGGCCGCGCGCCGCCCGCCGCCCGCCGCGAGTTTGATAAGCACCGCGCTGCACTGCTTCCTTCCGTTCCGTTATCTAAACCGCGCGTTGCGGTCTAACGCAGAATAATATGCGAAACTTTCGTTGGAAAGTCCATAGTTAATCCGGCCGTATACATATATACGAGGCGCAATAATGCCGGCGTACTCAGACACGTGCGTTCATGACATGCTCTTCTGCCGCTTACGCTTCTGAGAGCCGAACTTTCCTTATCCTATACGAAACGTGGAGCTCGACGTTAGGTTTTTATAATCCGTCGGTAACTCGTAAATTAATGTTTCGAAGGGCGTTCGTCTCTTCTGCTGCTTGCGCTCCTCTATATACAAGCAGAAAATTAAACAACACCGACAAAGTTGAATTTCTCAAACTTACAACATAACACAAACGTAAACTTACGTTTCAGGAATTCATTAAACTTTTATGATTCATCCGTAGGAAGTTTGTGCGTTTTTTGTAACGTAGTTTACGCGAACGATAAACCGAGCATGATCGCTCTTAAATATTTTGCGATATATGAATATATATGTATTAAATGTTTAATGTGCCTACGTTGCCGTTTTCTATGTTACTCACGTTCGCGATATGCGCGAATTATTATTGTAAACGACGTTCTTGTAATTACTCGGGCGAACGATGTGTTTCGAATTGAATTGATTTTTATTTAATTCTACTTGATCATCAGGATGGATAAATAATATCCAATTTTCAGTTCATTAATCGTATAAAGTGCTGACTCTGCATTGACAATTGAATTAAAACAGCGACCAATTACTCACCGATTAACTCTCGTGACTGTAAATCGATCTGAAATAAATGAACGTTACATTTAAATTGAATATTTACATTTTTTGTTCTGTTAGTTACAAAACGTTTATTATAATATTTCAGCTTTCTTTTACTTTCTCTCTCTCTCTCTCTCTCTCTCTCTCTCTCTCTCTCTCTCTATCTTTCTCTCTCCTTTTCTTTGATAAAAGAGACTATATTTTATATAATTTTCAATTATTAATACGTGTTAATGTATTAACACGAATTTTTATTATTAAATAAATGAAAGTTATACATAAAACGAAATTGATAGGATAAGATTTTTTACAATTAAGATTAACATTTCTCATCAATATTAAATTTAAAAAAAATGCAAACTTTCTTATTTATTTATTTGAAGAAATTTAGAATGTAAAAAACTCACAATTTGTATAGAAATGTCGCAAGAAATTAAAGACTGCTGGCGTAAGATTCATTCAATCTACAAATTAATTGTAACTTTATTTGATATTATCAGCAGTGAGAGAGCTTAACTTAGTGAGTCAGATAATTTTGTCCTAGAATCCGTAATTTTCTCAAGTTTTAAAGACGCATGCGGAAGTTTGCACGAAGGGATAAGGAGGCAAATGAAGACGAGAGAGTTCGTCAATCTCATTACATGTTCTTACTGGAAATTGGCATTCCACAGGATTGCTGGTCGACTTAAACGGAACATCTTGGGCTCAATGGTTGTTAGAACGGTCCGTTTTCTTCTCTTCCGCTTCTTTACGGTTTAGTACTTCGTCTTATCAGTTTTCGTTCGCGTATTTGATAACAGCATTTCTTGTTCTGCACTTAGTCTACCCTTTTCTTGTGTTTGTTCGCACATTTTTTTCCCTCTTTTCCTTCCATCATTTATTAAATGTCGTTTCAAGCCCTTTAATAGTCTATTTTAATTCTTATCACCAATCATATAACATATGATAGAATATTGCAAAACGACAAAATCGACTGCTTTGTTGGACAGCGCAGATTATCGTCGCGTGATTGCTAAAAACGTATCGAAATTATTAACAAAGCGGTTGAATGCACTAGTCATATTACACATATAGCCGCACATTGCGCATTGTATAAGTTTTTAATGAATTTGCACGAAATATTAATTTGTTAATATATTAATAAATCGATTGACATCGTAGGCAAATTATATGAATTTAAATATATATTTCTCTG